GAAAGAGGGGGAGAGAGGGAATCCTAAGCAGGTTCCACATCCAGTGTGAAGCAGGACACAGGGCTGGAACCCATGAACCATGAGATCATGACCTGAGCCAGAATTGAGTCAGATGCTTAACCAACTGAGCCACCCAGGTGCCCCCAAATTAAAATATTTATAAAAGAAAACCCCTACCCACTAGTCACTCCCCATCCCCCCTTCCCAGCCCCTGCAACCAGTAACCTACTTTCTGTGTCTATGGTTTTATTCTGAACATTCCATATCAATGGAATCATACCATATGTGACCTTCTGTGACTGGCACTCAGTGAAAGACTCAGCATGATGTTTTTGTGAAAGTGAATGAAGGCAACCTCATTTAAAATAGAGTCAGGAGGTCAGAAGAAGGAGCTCTGTGCCCTACTGACTCATTGTTAATTGCAGACCCCAACAGGAAGACGTCTACTTTACTATACCCCAGCAGGACAGAGGATGATTTTCTCCTCACCCAGCAATAGCCCATAAGACACTGCCACAACTCACCCAATGAGAAACTCACTACCTTGACTTTCCTCCAATGGACTTTCCTTCAAAGCAGCCCCTCCCAACTTCCTCTCTTTTCTCTAGGAGGTAATGTTTCATCTCTTTTGTTTGGTTTTGCCGATACCCTAGCTTGCATGTCCTGAGTTGCAATTCCTCTGCTATTCCTGAATAAACCCATGTCATTGGTAAAATAACTGGCTGTTTCGTTTTCAAGGTTAATATATTCAAGGCTGGTCCCGTTGTAGCATGTATCAATAATTCATTCACTTTTATGACTAATATTCCATTGTGTGGATGGGCCACATTTTGTTTACTCATTCATCCACTGATGGACATTTAGGTTGTTTCCACCATTTGACTATTATAAATAGTGCTGCTGTGAACACTCAATGTACAAGCTTTTGTGTGGACAAATATTTCCCCCTCTCTTGGGTCTAAACCTAAGAGTGAAATTATTAGGTTCTATGGTAATTGTTTAACCTTTCAAGGACCTGCCAGACTGTTTTTTCACAGGAACTGCAATTTTATCAATCTCTCATTTTACAGGTGGGGAAACTGAGGCTGGAGACCAGGTCTGGCTTGTCCAGGCAAGCTTCTCCTGGGCTCCTGGGTATCCTAACCTATGGAAAGTTCTTGATTTGTTTTCTTTTTCCCTTCAATCTAATTACAGACAGTAGTCATAGGATGAAGATTTTAAGGTGAGAGAGGAAGGTGAAGTTCAGGGGCCTTCTGTCTATCTCTACTCAGGTGATCTCCTTAGATCTGCCCACCGCTGCCAAGTTGGCACTATCATCTGATCATGAACTGCTGACCCCAAGGCCATGCTAGACTCCTTGAAACCTTTTCCCGTAACTGCCATTAACATCTCCATTTACAAATGGAGAAACTAAGGCTCAGAGGCATGAAGCAAGCACTCAAGGGTATTGGCCCTGCCAATGAGTGGGCTGGCTAGAACTTGAACTTAAGATCTTTCTGACCCAGAGCCCTCCTGATTACCCTTCACCTTGCCTCTAAAACCTGGGTCCCTTTCTCTATATTTCTTCATTGAACACCCTCAGCCCAGGGCCTAGCATGGAGTAGCTGCTCAGGAAATGAGTGTTGAATGAATAAATGATCTCATTTAATTCTCACAACACAACTACCAGCCAGTTTTGTAGATGAGAATAAGGCTCAGAAAGTTTTCACATGCTGCCACAGAGATTCCCACTGCAGCCTGCCTAAGGCTTAAGGGTTAAAACTCTGGAATCCTCTACCCTTCACCTGGGGTCAGTCCATCCTACAGGGAAGATGCCAGCACTTGCTCACACACACTGACCCCTCTGCCCGCTGTCTGTGCCCAGCTGTTTATCCAGGAGCTGGGCCAGGTAAATATTGGAGTAGGCAGGGCTCACTGCCTAGAGGGATCACGGAAGGGCAGGAATAAGGCAGGTGAGGAGTGGTTAGTCAGAGTAGAGGATGGGGAGGGTAGAGACAGGTGGACTGCTGAATGGAGAACGCAGGAGCAGCCAGCTTTGAAGGCTGACCAGCTCCCTGTGTGACAGTGGGAAAGGCATGACCCCTTTCTGAGCCTCTGTGGATTTATCTGAGAAATAGACAACAGTAGGACTATTGAGTGCTTAAAATACACCAGGTTCTGTGCTTGGCATCCACGACTGCCTTTGGGAGTGAATACAGTGGTTTGGACTCATCTGCCAGATGAGGAAACCAAGACTTGGAGAAGTCAAGAGAGTTAAGAACACAGCAACCATGGGCTGTGCTGCTTAGCACCAAGCATTTCTCCACTTTACCCTTAATGCTCCAGTGGCTCCCAATGGAACCCCAGGAACAATAATGGAGGAACCATCAGCCATTGGCATGCTCTCCAAAATCTCTGAGAACTACGTCACCCAGGGGTGCCTGGGAGGCTCAGTTGGTTAAGCGTCTGACTTTGGCTCGGGTCATGATCGCACAGTTCACGAGTTTGAGCCCAGCATCAGGCTCTGTGCTGACAGCTCAGAGCCTGGAGCCTGCTTCAGATTCCGTGTCTCCCTCTCCCTCTGCCCCTTCCCCACTCACACTCGATCTTTCTCTTTCAAAAATAAATAAACATTAAAAATCTTTTATTAACAAAAAACCAAAAACTACTTTACCCCAGGAATTTGAAGCTGGTTGGTCCAATGGGATGGCCCCTGGGTGTGCACTCCACCTGGCCAGCTCATTGCAGAAGGTCTAGCTCTATGATGGGAACAGTGACTCTAGTCTGCTCCTCATCCCCTATATGGCTTTGGACATGTCTTACCCTTCTCAGTGTGCTCACATCGTAAAACAGGGATAATAATGGCATTTACACAAAAGCCGGGCCCTGGACCAATGGCAAATAGCATCATCATGGAAGTAATTATTATTATTTTTTTTAATGTTTAGTTCTGAGAGAGAAAAAGGGAGGGAGGGGCAGAGAGAGAGGGAGACACAGAATCTGAAGCAGGCTCCAGGCTCTGAGCTGTCAGCCCAGAGCCCAACGCAGGGTCTTGAACTCACGAACCGCGAGATTAAGACCTGAGCCAAAAGTCGTACGCTTAACTGACTGAGCCACCCAGGCACCCCTGGAAATCATTATTAATGAGTTTACAACGGTTTATCT